GCAGATCGTGGGAATTTAATGCCAGCCCCCCCATGTCACCTGGCTTAGATCTCAGTGCTGGACTCAGGGCCTCTGGTGGCCTTGGAAATAGATTCCACCAAATGAGGAGATGGAAGATTCCCTGACCTCTGCAATGCCTCCCAAAGAAAGCCCCAAACCAACCATTTGCTTTTTGCTATTTACTCTCTCAGTGTTTCCCTAGACTGCATTTCTTCCCCACTCAGACCCAGAGGCAATCCTTTGTGGGGTTTTCTATGAACAAACCACTAGTAGTTGTCATGAGGCCCGAGCAGTGAGGCTGTGAGCAGGTGTCTCTGAGGTGTGTCTGAATGTCATCGCTAGTGTGGCACTGTCACCATCAGGTGGAGGGAGGAAGGTAGGCTGCAAAGTCGGTCCTTGCGATTGTTTTTATTAGGGACCCTGAATGTATATTTCGCCAGTCATAAAGCACACGGAATTTAGATCAACATGCCAAGAATGAGGTAAATGTTTAGAACCGAAAAAAAAAAAGAAAATTTAAGGAAGTCTATGTATCAGTAAGAAAAAGTTATTTAAACTATAGGACCTTGTGGGAGCCTAACTTTCTTTATACGTGAGATATACTGTATTAGCTGGCCAGCCTTTGAGAAATGTCAGACAAGATTTGGTATTAAATTTTTAAATTAAATTTCCCTACATTTGGTTGCCTTTGAGTAGTAAGTTCTGTGATTTCAAAGTGCCAAATGGTAAGTTAGTGTACAAATACACAGACCGTGGAGACATGAGTTTTTTTAAATGTAAGAAACTGGCTGTCCCTGAGAACATGGAGGTCTCGGTGGCTCTGATTGGGCCCTCCAGAAGGCTGGCTTTATGGTCCTCATGCTCCACAGGACGGCCCATGTTTTTATACTTTAAACAGTTAAATCGTAAAGGCAGAAACGGAGACGGGCCTCTGCTGGCAGCTCTGCCTGGAGTCTGGGTCCTGTGGGAACCTCTGGCTCGCCTGCTGGGCCCCCGCCAGCTCTGGTGGGAAATCTAGAGAACTCAGTGCTTCGTGTTCCCAGAAGACTCGCCACCGACCTCAGCGGCACTGCTGTTACATGAGTCTCTGTGTCCCCCAGAGTCCATGATAAGGGGACAGGGGCCCAGCCAGGGTCAGCGTCTCTGGGAATATAGTGTGGGTCTCAGAATTCACGTATTTTTCTCATGAACTTTTAACAACTTTTAAAACAAACTTTCAAAAGGGAACAAGCTCACAGCCCAGGGCTTCCCTCTGGAAGCATCGTGAGCATTTAGCTTTTCAGAAAACAATCACTTCTTGGTGACTGTCACCTGCCTGGCCAGGGGTCCCAGGGCTGCTGGAGAGCAGGTGCGCTGGCAGGTCCCCAAGTCAGAACCCAGCAGAGCCTTCCATAAAACATATTCTCATGGGGAAGACGAAACTCAGACTCTCACGGCTGTGTCTCGGGTGTCACTGTGAAAGAAAGTACCCAAGTCAAGTGCTCGGGATGCCTGTCACTGCAAAGTGACCTCCAAGGATCGCTGAGTACCAAACCAGGACAGGGGTCCCCCCTTCAATGTAGACCCCTGGGTTCCCACATCTCAGATGTGACTTGTCTCCTGGCCAGATGTCAGGTTGCAGAGTGGGCCCAATGTCCACAAAGCCCACCCACTTCTGGAAGGGGGTCTGCACTCTCCAGACCCGTGGCAGAGCCCCCGCTTACAACTGTCTTTCACTCCGTCGGTGTCCTACAGTTAAAGTGAGTTCCTTCTTGTGGCGGTTAAGTGAGATATATGTTATCATGAACAATCTAGATATACTTTAAAGTACAAGCCTTCACATGCTCAAGAGTGACAACCCAAATGTGTGTTATAAAACATATTCCTAAATATGTAGTTTATACTAGCAATCAACAGTCAAAATGCAGGAATGGTGCGTTTTTTCCTCTCTCAAAACAAAGTGTGTCTAGTATTGAAATATTAGAAACAAAACTGTAAACGTTCTAAGATCAAAGTGGCAGCAATCAGCTCCCTGCCTCACAGCTGTCCTCCTACAAGACCAGAGCCCCTGGGGTGGCTCAGCACCCTGCACCGGCTGGAAGAGGGGTGTGAGCGGTTGTTAGGGGGAAGCTCATGGAGAGAGGTTTGCTTAGGGTCCTGCGGTGAGTCAGGGCCTGTGGTTACCTTTTGTTGATGTTCCGGTGCCTGTAAACCGTGAAGTGGGTTCCCTGGGGTGAGGCTCACAGGCACCTAACCCAACCCAGGTGCCCAGTTCACCAGCAGTGCGATTGTGCTGATGGTGAAACCTGGCTTCACGGGTGCTTTGCCTGGACACTCAGCTAACAGCGGACCAGGGGAGAGGAAAGGTGCTGAAACTAAATGAAAACTGCCTCCTCGAGCCCCACAACCAGCCAACACAGCCCACACCTGCGGCCCAACAAAGCCAGCACCACCAGGTTGCAAAGGGAGCCCAGGGGGAGGGAAGCTGGGCCCCTGAGTCCTAAGTGTCCCACCTGCCCCGCTGAGGTCATTGCCACAGCTCCCACCAAAAGGTGGCGATGCAGTTTCCTGTATAGGCAAATTCCAGGGCCCTGTGGGGAGAAAAGGCAGAGGACGTCTCTCTTGCTCCAGGGAGTAGGCTTGGGCCCTCTCCCTCCCTGTGCCCACCCCACAGGGCGAGGTGAGGCCTCCTCCACAGGTGTGGCTGTGTGATCAGGATGACACGATGCTCCCTGGTCCCAGTGGAAAGCGTGGCTGCTCTGCCCACATGCCTGGCGTGTGCCTTAGAAGCTCTCTGGGGACCCATGACAGTCTCAGTCATGTTCCTTGTGTCGCTAGTCATGAACCCCAAGAAGAGCTCTGCTAAGACCACCACCTGTCCAACAGGGAGTGGACTGAAAATACTTCTCTGTCTGCAAACCGTAGGCCGCTGGACAACGGGGAAGACTTCTGGCTGTCACCGACCCGGCTACTTTTGAACGGATGATCTAAGCCGATACCGTGGGCTCCAGATCACCCCCCCTGACCCATGTCGTTCTCTGAATGCTATGTAAAGAATGCAAAGGGACAGGACTGCTCTCTCCCCTGCTTGACCCCAAAAGGCCTTTTTCGGTTGTTCAATTAGGAAAGAATGCAAAACGCACAGCATTCTACAGGCTTCCTTTGCAGCGGAGATTACAGACAATAGCGTTAGGCAGTGGGCAGGTTGCTTCTTCCTTCATCCCCTATTCATCTGCTAACTGATTCCCCAAAAGGCGAAGGCGAGCCCCAGGTGCTTCCCATGCATGCAACCTCAAGGCAAGCTGCCCCCGGCCAGGGAAGCTTTCCCTTACGAGGGCAGGAGACCGAGCCCCACTGCTCCGTGGCTTAGTGCTCTCTGTGTGGTCCGCCTTAGACGTACCCAAGGCTGGGAGACATGGACATGCTCGCCAAAAGGAAAAGTAGACGTCTGGGGAGCCAGGCAAGAGAAACATCAGAGAAATGGCACAGGTCAGAACAGCTCACAGAGGGAAGATTCTTAAAAAACGTACATGAACAGATAAAGAAGAAAGTAATGTTTTAATCAGATGGTGAAAACAGAGCAGATGGACAGTGACAGCAGAGAGAACAGGAGCACAGGTGTTTTCGGGGGCTCCTACGGTGCACCGTCCCCTGTACCGGGCACGCTCTTGTGAGCTGTCTCTAAGCACAGCTCCTGCAGGGAGTGGGTGGTTTTTCCCCGGGGCTGTCAGAAATGCTTTGTGATTCTCTACGCGAATTCACGTTGAATAGTTTCCAGCATTGCTCAGACTCGGACTTAAAATAGATATGAGCCAGGTCTCCGGGTCCCTGTCAGTGGCCTGGCCAGCGTCCTAGCCAGCTGGGTGACGGACAGCATGGTCTGTGACCAATCCCACTCACCGGGTAACCTTGCGTGCCTCCTCCGGGGCCGTCAAAGATAAATCATAAAGTGAAGGTGAGAGATTAGAACTGCAAGGAACAGTGGGAGAAGCAGTTGTCGGAAAGCAAAACAAACACAAGGAAAAAAATCTGTGAGGTCCCTGGGAAATGGTGCTAATCGCTGCGTGAGCTCACCCTCCGGCCTCCACGCGCTGGGTTCCCGCTGCTCCCCAGCAGCCTGGGGACAGGAACCCTTCTCTCTCCAATCCTGTGGTCTCCGGGAAGACGACTGTCGCATGGACCTTTATCTGCAGCCCGCCCACCTTCCTACCTTCCTCCACACCCACCTCCGCCCGGGAAAGCCAGCTGTGCTTCCCGGGCACCTGGAGATGTGCTCGCTTAGTCTCCTGAGTAACGGGGGCGACGGGAACCACTGTCTAAGGTCAGCTTCCTTCGCCTGCATCCCGTTTACTTTAAAGATGCCTCCTGAAGTGGGTCTGTCTGTGTCAGACATCTGGCAAGGAATCAAACACATCTCAAGTGCTCAGTAATCATCAATACCCTCTCTCAGCCCCCTAACTAGCCATGTACCTGCCGACAGTCCCCAGGCGCCTTCTCTGCAGTGTCACCCAGGTGGCTGAGGTGGAGACCGGAGCCGATCCCTATCCTCAATAAATTTCTCACCCCTTAACACTAGTAATAGAGAGAAATCACTACTTAAAAGGAACCTCAGTCTATGCGCGTCATGTATGCTTGTGACTTTGAACCCTCTGCCCCAGGAGCACGGGCTGGGCCCTGACGTTTGACAACGCCGATCACTGCCTGTCTCGCTAACGCATGAACCCTAAGTACCTGCTTACTTAATATCATGGCACACGTCTCTTTGGGGTGTCCTGGATTTTTTTTTAAGTTCGCAAGGAAGATAAATAGGGCTGAAGTCAATCTGAGTTAGATTGTGGACTCACTGACAATACCATGCTCCTTGGACCCACACTGGGAGGTGGCATCTGAAATTAAGTAGGTGGAGGGCTTGCTAAGCACTCGCGGGGACTCAAGTAACACTGCAAACAATTGGCTTCAAGCAAAGTGGGCGCCCGGCTTCCGCTACAAGGTTACCCTTCGGCGATCGAGGGTTTCCACACCTGCGCTGTGACACCACTCTTCTTGGCGGAGAACTTGGGCCTTGGTGCCACAAAATAGGAGGCGGAGGCCGATTCCTGCTTTGGAGAGCTGGGGACACCCGTGGGCACTGGGGAGGCGCTGACGGGCGAGGCGGCCTCCGCGAAGAAGGCGGGCTGGGGGCCGCAGGCGGGCACC